TAAATGTTCTTCCAGCGCAGTGGTAACCTGGAATGAGCCAACAGCAAAAGATAACTCTGGTCACGTTACCATCAGCTACCCAGCAATACGGCCTTCAGCCAATCTAAGTATTGGTCTGTACAATGTGCGTTACTCAGCAGCGGACGCAGAAGGAAACAGGGCGAACTGTAGCTTCATTGTACAAGTCTCAAGTAAATACGTCACATCCTTTTGTTAAAAGATTTTTAAGTACATCAAATTTATGTGCAGAACGTTTTGTTTTTACCCTACGTGAACGTGAATCAGTTTTCAGGGGAGTAAATTGTATGTGCTAATAACCCTTCAAAAGATAACAGGTCAAAATTATTTATTGATTTATTCTACCTTAAATTCAGTTTATTCTTTTTCATTTTTTTTTTGCTTGAATGGTAGCCATCGACCACCGTGAAAGCCACGTTTGTTGGGATAATTAAGAAAATCCCCCCTCCTGCTTCATCTGAAATCTGATTGGTACAGAGCACTGAATACCACCGCAGGAATAAATTGAATCATGTTGTTATTTACTATCAAATCTTCGTTTCTCATAGGAAAGTCGTGCCCAGCCCCCTATTCACCAATAAATGGTTCCATAGTATCTCAATCGTGTGGATCGCTATTTGGTTCCCAGGCCACCTTCGCCTGTAACAAGGGCCATCGACTGTCTGGGTCACGTGTTCGTTCATGCCAAGAAGATGGAGCGTGGTCTGGCAGAAACACCTCATGCAGCAGTAAGATAAAAACTTCTTATCTTTCGGAAAACGTCAGGGGCACCCCACGACAGTTTTCTGTAAAATATCTATTCGAGAACGCAAATAGTGCCTAGAATTTTACGATAGTTTGAGGGCGACTACGATTTTTTGAAGTTTGATTTTTCACATTTTCCTCCCCAGGTTAAGTTATATTTCGTAGAAAAAAAAACGAACCAAATTTTCGGATTTAAAAATCTGATAGAGAGAGAGGAATAAGAAATTTGATTACCTTCTGAAATCATTTCCAAAAGATTCAAGTTGCCCTAGGATGACCGAACAGATAAAGATTTTTACGGCGTCGTTTAGAATGCATTTCTAGAGATCACAAAATACTTTGGATAGCCTAAAAAGTGTTTTCAACGTATTAAGGAGGAAACCGTCGTTGGGTGTCCCTATACCGGACACCTTTGTGCCTACTTTTGATCCACTTTTGTGGATTTTTAAAGAAATCCACAACCTTGGCTACCACAAAGATGTTTGAGGATCCTTCAAGCAATTTACTAGCTGTAAACATTCTATGTGCAACTTAGTAAAGGAGGAAACAGATTAATCTCGGTTTTATGCTAGTCTTGCAAAGATCTTTCTTCCGTATTCTATCGATTTGTTGTAAAGTTATCACTGGATCGAGGTATTTATTTTCTAGTTTAATCTCTTGTTCGTTTGATGAGTTTCTCACTTACTGATTTCAGTTGTCAAGTGCCCAGGTATCAAGGCTTTGTGCACAGGAAGATCCTGCCCAGTCCTTAACGCTCCCAAATATGGCACCATAGCCTCTCTTTCGTGTGGATGGTTATTTGGGTCCCAGGTCTCACTCTCCTGTAATGTGGGATATCACCTGTTGGGATCAGCCGTGAGATCATGTAAAGAAGATGGAAGATGGTCAGGCAACAAAACCTCATGCCAGAGTAAGAAAGTAACATTATGCCAGTCCGCATCAAAACGAGTTATTGTAGTAAAATTGCTAATAAGGTGGCATTTTCACAGATTAGTAGTGTGTGAACTGATTTATGATTACCCAAATCAGTGGTAAAGGTCTTTGTATGACTGCCTAGATTTGACCGTTCTTTGAATTAGGGTCTCTTACTGAAGGAACGTAGTTGGCGAGCAAGCTCACACAGGGCTTCCAAGGTTGGGGGCAGAAAGGCGAGAGTAATTTTTTTTCCGCCTCCCTCCCCCTAACCCCCTACGCCCATCCCCTTAGTACATTTGAAACTAAGATGGCCGCACGTAACAGTAAGGGCTCGATCTCGACAATGTTACGGAGAAGTAAGGGGACTGGTAACAGTCTACGCTGAGATATAAGGTATGGGAGATGATTAGATTTTATCCACTTTCTTTTTAAAGTCGTCACCTGTACTCCACTGGTCACACCGCCTCATGCAGTAAAGCAGATCGCGCCTTGTTCCAATACTTATGGATCAAGCTGTACATTCTCCTGTCAAACCGGATATACCAGCTCCAAAGGAAATGTTACAAGGACGTGCCTAGCTTCTGGAAAATGGAGTGGAAGCGGCATCAACTGTACAGGTATTCAAACATTAAGTCTGCAACAACGTTAAAAATTGGTAAATAAATATAAAAAGTGATCATTATAAAAATATTTTATCTTTCTATTAAAAAAGTGCTAAAGGAGAAGAATCATTCATTAGAAATAAAAGCTAAAGCTATCTTCAGTATCCTCTGTCTCGCAGCCCAGTGTAAATGTTACTTGTTATTGTTTAGGATATATACCTAACGCTTTGTCGATTCTGTAATCTAAGCGGGTTTCCCACCCTTTTAGACATACACCCTCCAACGTTTGGAGCATCCTGTCCAACTGCCCCCTTGGTTGCGTATGCAGAACGAGGCCTTTTTTCAGCATTAGTGAACTGGACTGAGCCGGTCGCAATTGACACCTCAGGGATTGCTCCTGTGGTGACGTCAAACTACAGAACCCCGCAGAGGTTCAGTCAAGGCTCTCACGTGATCACGTATACTGCCGTGGACCAATCAGGAAACAGGGCCACGTGTTCGTTTACCATCGAAGTCATAGGTGAGAATCTTCCACTTTGCATTCCGCGACGAAGTTCGTTACGGTGTTTAGTCCTCTGAAATCTGAAATTGGATTTTATCGGATTCGAGCAGGGGAACGCCATAATGAGGGACGCGGGCTTCCCCCTGTCACCTGTCTGCTCGCGCTTTCTAGCTTTGTCTTCGACACAAGGGGTTCTGTTCACTTGGACCAAATCTGTTGATTTTGCTGATGCCTCCATGCATCGTAGTTCTAGCGAGCCCAGTAGGGTAAGCGCTAAACTAAAAGAAATCTTTCGATAAAAAAATCATTTCTTCCTAGTTACTAATTTGAGACACACACCCTTATTAACTGCCAGTCTTTAAAAGTTTAAGGGGAAGGAGTCATGGATGAGAGGACAACAGACGTGCCCTCTTGACAATATATATTAACATGTGAACAGTAACCTCGGACGTCAGCATGCAATAATAAGCTTACTAATATACTTGTTGACTGGCATTTGTAAGTTAACCTTAAACGTAGGTCAGTTGATCGGGTTTTGGATTTTCGATGCGGAATTTTTTTTTCCACCGCATTAACTTTAAAACATTTAAACATTATAATATTTAAATGTATGCCATTTTGCTCCGTTTTGCTAGTTATCAACTGTACATCACTGATGGTTTCTCCCGGGGGTCCACTGCGCATGGCCAGCTGTGCCAATCATTATGGATCAAAATGTACTTTCTCCTGTGCGACTGGTTACCGTCTGAATGGTTCATCAACTGTCACGTGTATTGCTGTTGGTAACAGGCCCCCGGGATTGTGGGACAGCCCCATGCCAGTATGTCAAGGTGGGTTAAAAGTAGGAATCTGGTTTTATTAATTTATTGAATGAGCAATAATTGTTATAACGCACTGATATTTTGCTTTTTCCTCCTTCATCAGTTATAACATGTCCTTCGCTATCCAGTCCAGCAAACGGAATTAAGAAGGGTTGCTCTAATCCACTTGCTGAACGCTATGGTACAATTTGCAGTTTTGCTTGCAATGTCGGCTACAACGTGACAGGTTCGCACACGCGAAAGTGTTTGGAAAATGAACAATGGAGTGGACTCTTGTCACATTGTCAAGGTTAGCATGCATCAATGAACTGGCATTTTCCTAGGTAATAATATCAAAGATAATATGAATAAGAAGGAAGTCCTCAGAGAAAAAATACCACAAAGTGAACTGCGAATAATTTTCACTCCGGGAGAAACGATGCTTTGTCAACTTATTTCTTAACTCTATTTTTTGTAAATGAACACTAGGGTGTTTCAACAGAAATCCAAACACCAAGAAGTTGGAATAGAGAGAGTTATCAGACACCTGATTCAATGCTCTCTCGAGAGTTTGATCAATTTTTCGCAAAAAAGTTTCCATTTTATAGGAATCAATATTTACACCCAAGGAAGTTAATAGTTCTTGAGCGATTTCAAACTTCTTGGGGTACTTACAACTTAATAACTAATTTTATCTATTTATTTTTTTCTCATACAGTAATAAACTGTAGTGCACTCACTCCACCTGCCAATGGCGCCGTGTCTCCACTCTCGTGTTCATCAAGAAGTACATATTCTCAGACCTGTAGGTTTTCTTGTGGAACAGCAGGATACGTTCTTGAGGGAACTTCTGCGAGGGTGTGTGGAGGTGATGGAAAATGGTCTGGAAAGAACGACACTCTTTGTAGAGGTAAGCATACGACGTTATTGCTATGAATCCTCTTTCCATAATCTTGTTGCATCGTTTTTTAAGGTTACGTGATCGAAAGCAAACGTATAGTTAACTACTCCGCCAGATTGAAAGAGAGTTCCGTTCCCGTGAAGACGTCCATAAGATGTGTTGTAATGTCACGAAAGTTAAGTGACAGCAGAGGGTAAATTCTGTTTTCATAAACTAAAACAATTAGCCATATAGGAGAGACTATACTGGATATCGCCAACTTCTTATAAACTTCAGAGAAACAGCTTTTCCCTACACCCAAGGAATACATTAGGCTTTGAACTGACAAGATATGAATTCAAAAATTGATTTACTTTTAGAGGGTATGCAAGTACCGTTGGAGTACCCAAACACAAACTGCCGTGTTTCTATGTGAAATAAGCTTTGTTATTTGTACGCAAATGCTTCGCGTTGTTTGGGGGCACTACCCTGATCGCCATCACGTCATGTATTGCTGTTAAGAAGTAGCATTTTGATTATTTTCAGACAACACCCCTCCTTCATTCAGCGACACTTGTCCAAATAACATGGTGTTTTATGCTCCTAAATGTTCTTCCAGCGCAGTGGTCACCTGGAATGAGCCAATAGCAAAAGATAACTCTGGTCACGTGACCATCAGCTACCCAGCAATACGGCCTTCAGCCAATCTAAGTATTGGTCTGTACAATGTGCGTTACTCAGCAGCGGACGCAGAAGGAAACAGGGCGAACTGTAGCTTCATTGTACAAGTGTCAAGTAAATACGTCACATCCTTTTGTCAAAGAATTTTAAGTACATCAAATTTATGTGCAGAACTTTTTGTTTTTACTCTACGTGAACGTGAGTCAGTTTTCAGGGGAGTAAATGGAATGTGCTAGTTGTAACGTCTAGAGGGATAACACTCAGTAAGAACTCCAACAACGGCGACACTCAACTCGAAGCTAACATCTTTAATCACAAAATTCCACGTGCTTACACACGACTTAGCTTATATAAGATGCTCAGAATACTTCGTGTAAGATAATACAAAATACACTTCATGTAAGCAATACGTGACATCCCCGTTTAAAAGATCACAGGTCAAAATTATATATTGATTTATTCTACTTTAAATTCAGTTCATTCTTTTCTCATTGTTTTTTGCTAGAATGTAGTCATCGACCACAGTGAAAACCACGTTTGTTGGGATGACTAAGGAAATCGGCCCCCGTCTGCTTCATCTGAAATCTGATTGGCAGAGAGCACTGAATACCACCGCAGGGATAAATTAAATGTTATTTACTATCAAATCTTCATTTCTCATAGGAAAGTCTTGCCCAGCCCTCTATTCACCAATAAATGGCTCCATACTATCTCAATCGTGTGGATCGCTATTTGGTTCCCAAGCCACCTTCGCCTGTAACAAGGGCCATCGACTGTCTGGGTCACGTGTTCGTTCATGCCAAGAAGATGGAGCGTGGTCTGGCAGAAACACCTCATGCAGCAGTAAGATAAAAAGAAAACGTCAGGGGCACCCCACGACAGCTGCAGTTTTCTGTAAAATATCTATTCGAGAACGCAAATAGTGCCTAGAATTTAGAATTTTACGATAGTTTGAGGGCGGCTACGATTTTTTGAAGTTTGATTTTTCACATTTTCCTCCCCAGGTTAAGTTATATTTCGTAGAAAAAAAAAGAACTAAATTTTCGGATTTAAAAATCTGTTAGAGAGAGGAATCAGAAATATGATTACCTTCTGAAATCATTTGGAAAAGATTCAAGTTGCCCTAGGATGACCGAACAGATAAAGATTCTTACAGCGTCGCTTAGAATGCATTTCTAGAGATCAAAAAGTACTTTGGATAGCCTAAAAAGTGTTCTCAGTGTATTAAGGAGGAAACCGTCGTTGGGTGCCCCTATACCGGACACTTTTGTGTCTACTTTTGATCCAATTTTGTGGATTTTTAAAAAACTCCACAACGTTGGTTACTACAAAGATGTTTGAGGATCCTTCAAGCGATTTACTAGCTGTAAACATTCTACGTGCAACTTAGTAAAGGAAGAAACAGATTAATCTCGGTTTTATGTAAGTTTTGCAAAGATCTTGCTTCCGTATTCTATCGATTTGTTGTAAAGTTATCACTGGATCGAGGTATTTATTTTCTAGTTTAATCTCTTGTTCGTTTGATGAGTTTCTCACTTACTGATTTCAGTTGTCAAGTGCCCAGGTATCAAGGCACCCTCCCATGGAATGGTTGTTCCCTCTTCGTGCAAACAACCGTCTGGAGTCAATTATGATACTGATTGTTCCTTCACATGCAACACTCAGGATGGTTACCAGCTTGATGGTCCGCGCAGAGTATCGTGCCTTGAAAATGGTTCTTGGAGTGGAGATACGAGCAAAATTCTCTGTAAAGGTATGGAACATAGTTGATGTAATGTACACACAACAAAATCTGAACTTAACGTCAACTGTCAACTGGAATGGTGTCGTCACCTTTTAAAATCCGCGAGGCGTCAGTTTTATGGTCTATACGCTTACAGACCATAGCTCTCGACCAATGGGCGCCCAGGAAATCACCGAGATGATGATAAATTTAAACACGATAAGATAGAGCGAGAGCACTCCCCCNTTGCAAAGATCTTGCTTCCGTATTCTATCGATTTGTTGTAAAGTTATCACTGGATCGAGGTATTTATTTTCTAGTTTAATCTCTTGTTCGTTTGATGAGTTTCTCACTTACTGATTTCAGTTGTCAAGTGCCCAGGTATCAAGGCACCCTCCCATGGAATGGTTGTTCCCTCTTCGTGCAAACAACCGTCTGGAGTCAATTATGATACTGATTGTTCCTTCACATGCAACACTCAGGATGGTTACCAGCTTGATGGTCCGCGCAGAGTATCGTGCCTTGAAAATGGTTCTTGGAGTGGAGATACGAGCAAAATTCTCTGTAAAGGTATGGGACATAGTTAATGTAATGTACACACAACAAAATCTGAACTTAACGTCAACTGTCAACTGGAATGGTGTCGTCAACTTTTAAAATCCGCGAGGCGTCAGTTTTATGGTCTATACGCGTACAGACCATGTAGCTCTCGACCAATGGGCGCCCAGGAAATCACTGAGATGATGATAAATTTAAACACGATAAGATAGAGCGAGAGCACTCCGCCTTTCAGTTTGAGTTCTAAACATTTTCTCATTGGAATTATCCGTTTTCACTTCCTTGACAGATATTAGACCTCCCACAATTCAATGCCCAGCAGCAATGGAAGTTTCTACAGCAAGTGGGAAACCATATGCCACAGTTATGTGGAATATTCCCGTCACCAAAGACAACTCTATTGGTCGTCTAAATCTCAGTGGCCTGGATCCTCCACAGACGTTACAAGTTGGTACAACTAATATTACGTATTACGTCACAGACTCAGCTGGGCTCGGCAGCAGCTGTACCTTCTCTGTTCTTGTGAAAGGTAATATTTCAATCATGCATCATCAATTAACCAGAAATCCTGTCTTGCAGAGCCTCGCAAAGCTCAGTCACACCGTCTGAAACACAAACAAGGCAAGGGACCAGAATCTTATAAAAAAGTGAAATTTTGTTAATCATCAGAATGAAGCATCTGACGTCATCTGCCCAATACTGACTGAACTTGTTGCTAAAGAGAATAGAAGACCCTAAATTGGATACTTTTATAAATAATATGAATATAATAGGCAAAAATGATCCTTTTTTCATATAGTTTCGTTCAAGTTCAAAATAATAATAATAATAATAATAATAATAACGGTTTAATATCCGTACATCCATGGTATGGCTCTTTGCCTGATATAAAAATAAAATGGGGAAATTAACATATATCTGAATTATGAATTTGTAAAAAGCTAGGTAATAAACAGTTAAATGTAATTATACAATATATACATACATTATCTAAAACTAGGCAAGAGGTAGGCATGAGGTATTTAAGGAAAATACGAATAGTTAGGTCCCTGATATACTACTGTGGAAAAGTTTATCGTGGCCTTCACAGCTATTTTAGCTCCGTTCAAACAATTACGAACTCGTCGAAAATTTCTCGCAACAGTGGTCGTGAAACGATTTTTTTGAGGCTTTGACGCCCTCTTCCAGTTTCATTTTACAGCCACGTCTCAATCAAACTAAGACCCTGTTTGCATGGAGTGGGGGACCCCGGTCTAGTGGGGTAGGTTTCTTTTGCTTTGTGTCCCCCAGAGCGTGAAAACAAAAGAAACCAACCCCACTAGACAGGGGTCCCCCACTCCATGTAAACAGGCCCTAATTTAATGATCTCCAATAATTTTCACGACGGTGACACTTTTCAGGTGAAACAAAACAAAAAGTGTAAGAAAGGAGACGGAACAAACAAAGTAACCTGCCATCAAGCTATCCAATAATGGCGAGCGATCCTTTCGTCCCGTGCGGCTCTCGCGTGACTTCTCGCTACTTCCCCAAATGAAGAACTCGCTCGCAGGCTACAAAATAAGCAAGGCATGTGACATGCGCTCACCATATTTTAATCTAAACGTCTTTCATCAGATCTTGAGCCACCTAAGTTTGTCTCCTGTCCGAATGATACAAAGATCATCTCTCTAACAAGAGAGTCCAAGCTGATGTTGCCAGCTGTTGTTGCCACGGACAATGTGGGTGTGACAGAGATTAAAACAAGCATTCCTAACGGAACTGAAGTCGAGTGGGGAGAATACGAAGTAACTTACACAGCGTCTGATAAGGCGAAAAATACTGCTTCCTGTTCATTTGATATAACAATAGCCGGTAAGAATATGCATCTTAAGATGTTTTTCCAACATGTGGTTGAAGATCATGATGATGGTTAGTGATGGTAATAGTGATAGTAACGATGATGATGATGATGGTGGTGGTGGCAATGCTGCTGCCGCCCTGACGACGATGATGAAGATGATGATAATGACTTCTTCTTTTTACGTGACATTCACATATAAAGAGTGGTTTCTGCCTCTTTCTATTTAGAGAGCTCGCCATTACCGTTTACAGTCTACAGCGTACGTGTACTTAAGCATGGTTTTGCCCATGTTTTTGCCACATAACTTTTTGCTATCCTGTACCTTAACGAAACATTATCATGACACTTGGAACTCTTGCCCTGAGAATTGAGGCATGTTCAAGTTAAGGCTCTTTAACGGTGTGTGCCACACGAGAAATTGCACAGGTTAACTCTCATTATGCTCTGTTGTTATATCGTAGTGATGAGCTTCATTTTTTACGTCCTAGATTCCTATTGTGAAAAGTTATCACCACCAGAGAATGGAGCCATAACCTGTGAGTCATGGATGGCTGGGCTGATGTGTACCGTGCATTGTAATGAGGGGTATGACATGGCTTTTCGACCACGCCCTTGGTATTACTGCGAATCTGACGGGAACTGGAGAAGAGGCAATACAAAATGGAGTAAAAAGCCTACCGTTCCTGAATGCTCAGGTACGAAAATAGCGCAGGCAACAGCTTCCTCGCTGACAACTTCCTCAATCGGGGCTCATAGCGTCGGTTTCTAGCCCTGTTTTTCTCGTTATTTTCTCTGATGCCCTACGCGACGCGCTACGGACGGCTCTTCAGGATTCTTGAGAGGTCTAAATGGCGTTTGTATTGGGGAGAAAATAAGATGCCGCTATGCTGTTATGAAGACACAATTCAGCTTCAACATCTTTCGCACAATTTGTTACTAAAGCTCTTGATTGGTTCTAGTGATCATGACTAAGTCGGTTTTAGGAAGGTCTGTTTTCGGTGTCAAATGAAGTCTGAGCCAAGCTTAGAATGGTCCGCTTTAGGGTATAAACATTATTTTTTTGATGAGCATCCCGTTTACATACGGGATTCAGCTGCCTTCCCGACAGTATGGGAGGGAAGGGAAGGATGCTCGACTATATACATTACTTTCTTTCCGATCACTTAAACATCATATCGTCTATTTCAGGAATGCACAAGCCAAAAATTATTGTATTTTCTGGGAGATATTACTATCTCACTAACAAGTGCAGCGGCGAGCAGCTGAACGAGGAGATTGCGGATAAGTTTATCGGAATCTTAAAAAGCACTACGTCTGGATGGGGTCAAGCTTGTCGCGATTATCCGCACTTATGTATGATTGAAGATGTCGAAGTGTTGTGTGGAGAATCTCGAGTAGAGAAAGAGGTCATTGGGAAGAACCAGACAGCGAAGATTCCGTTAACCATCAGTTTCATGCTTAAAATTCCTTTGCTAAGCTTCAATAACGCATCTCATAATCTCAATCACACGCTTCAGCAAATTTTAAGTAACATATTAGGAGCCCTAGTCAACGCGGACTTGACGTTTAACACAAGTGGAGTTGTTTTCCAAAGAGATCCATCCAGACCGCTGGAGATGCGCCTGTCCCATCTTATTTGTGACGAAGGCCAAGTGCTTATTGGAGAAGCATGCGGTAAGAATTACTTCTCCTTATTCAGGACTTCTTCAAGGGTTAGTTTT